GGGCGGGGCGGGGGAGGAGGTCGGGGGCGTGGCTCGAGGGTAAACCCGGATGGGGCTGCCAACCACAGGCTCAGCCTGGACCGCAGGCTCCAGGAAGCCGCTGGGCCCTGGGCGGGGCCTGAACCTCGACCACGCCCACTTCCTCCCAGTCCCGCCCTGGGCCCCGCCTCTTCATCCCCGAGGGAATAGTTTGAAGCTTTAGGTTGAAGCGCCAACCCCTGGACCCCGGCGACCTGCTGGCTGCACTGTTGGCTAAGTACATTTGTTGTTGTCGCTAACAAATGTACTGCAAAGAGGGCGGGCCTGAGGATCTGTGGGGCAGCTATGGTGCATCTCCTGCTTTGCACTGGGAGTTTTTCTTAGATTAGGGAAGAACGCTCCAAAAGCGCGGCGTCAATAGGCCTGGTTTAGGAACTTCACAATGCTTACTGCCCTTGTGCGAAGGCGCTGAGTGCTACAGACCAGGCAAGCACTGCGGAGTAGGGTTCAGTCTGGTGATCATAGGTGAGGAAAGTTTGCCACCTAGAGCCAGGCCACGGAAGTGGGAAAGAGTGTGTCTGAAGCTTTCTCGGGCTCAAAAGGACAAGATTGGCAACGAATTGTTACGGGACTTATTTTGATTCGAAAATGAGCTGCAAATCATTGATAGTCATTGTAGGAGTCTATGTGACATTTCTGAAAAGTCTTCTTATATTATTTTTCTCACAAATTTCCTGAGTGTGATCGAATGTTTGAATGTATGTAAATGGATGGAAAGCATTTTAAGAATATGTCTGTTGACATCACAGGCATCGCCTTTGTATGCGCGTGCTCTTATTACAGTGTCCATGTTAGGCACAAATAGCCCGGATTCCGGGCGCAGAACATTTCAGGGTATCTCATGAAAGCCTTCCAAGCTTTGTTCTAAATTATTTTCAAAGGGTCTGCTTTTGGCTGAGAAGACCCTTGGCGGAGATTAGGAATCTTGCATTGCAAGATTAGGCTTTTATTTGAGGGAATAGGCACAATGCTCCACAATGCTACAGAAAGCTGCAGAAGACTGGAAAAAAAAAAAAAGTTCGTCTGTGCTGTTCTGTGTGCTGTTGGCCTCGTGACACTCCTGTCTGTAACCATTTATCACTGAGACATTTTCTCATCAGTACACAAAGGGTATATTCCCTACTTGGTGTGGAGGGCTTCAGCTGCCCAGCCTCATGAATGCTAATGGGAATACGACCTTCCTTTTGCATATAGGTCACTTTTCTTCTTTTAATGTCAATAGGCAGTGGAATCCTTGTCAGAGCCTGGGTGATGAAGTTTGCAACACTTCCTCACAACTGCTACCTGTATCCTTCATGGATACTTTCTCAGGGACGTCCCTATGCTCTTAAATCATGATTTGTACTTCACAAAAGTGCAGTCATTGAATTTCTTAACCAAAAGGCCATAATAGAATTATGTTTTATTATTGGAATATACAAAGGAAGCAGTTAGCCATGAATTTTGGCTGAGTTCCAAAAAGCTGGCCAGTGGGAACAACTACTTTGTCTTTGAGAGGAAAAAAAAAAAAAAAAAGGATGTCCCTAGTGCCTAGTGCTCAGCAAAGCCAGAAGGATTTTTAGTTTTTTGAGATTTCATCTGATACAGTTTCCATTAAAAAGCTGCAGATGGAAGACTGTCTAGATTATAGAAATATAATGGTTAGGTTTTTGAGTTGATCCAGAGGAAAAGCTGGAAAGGGTATAAATTTATGCAACCTGCTAGGAGTGTCATCTGGGAATATAATACCTATCCAAGTTAGAAATGAAATGGATTTAACTTTTACACTGTTAAACAATTACCTTGGATTCACATGCAGATATACTTGTGTAGGAGATTTAACAGATTATTCAGGAATGTTCATTACCATAAGGAAAACATTCTAAATGTTCATCAGTAACCAACTAGATAGTTCTGCTATGTTAAGACAATGCAGTATTATACTTTGGATCAAAAGAATGATTTAATCTTTGTTCATTCATTCACTTATTTAAAATTTTTTGTTGAAGGAAGTACATATGCAAGATCATTGTTCTAGGCCTTGCAGATACAATGATTAGAAAGACAAAGTCCCTTAGCTATGGAGTTTGCATGATTGTAGGCACAGAGAAAGATCTCCACAACATAATTTAGAGTTTAAAAAGTAAATTTCCATATAGGAGACATGATATTTTTCTTCTGGAATAAAATGTTAAATATTATTCTCTCACCCCCACATATATATGCAGGGAGTTGCGTTTAACTTTTCATTCTGGAAAGTTAGTTTGACAGGGGTTGCGAAGGACTAGATGTGGCAGGAAGACCTGCAGACGATGTTTCCTTTACCTTTTAGGTATCTCTGTATAGATTGAATTTTGACCACTGCATGCTTTTCTTGCTGTTAAAAATACTAAGAGTGAACACATTTTATTTTTTGATAAGTAGACTTGGTTTTTTTTCCAGAGTTGACCATCCATCTCTTTATCCTTCCTGAGTCTGTGTTCAGGCAATGAAGTGGGGGCGGACCCCAGATCAATTCCTTTAAAAATCAAAAAATGAAAGGGAAACAGAACTTGAATTCTTTTTACATTTCTTCTTGATTCCCTCTGACTTCTTTCAGTCTGGCTGTTTGCTTTCTGACCCTTCTTCTGTCCTCTTTTTTTTCTTCTTCTTCTTTTAATTTTACTTTCCAGAACAAACCTAGGAAATACTATTGTACTCTAAGGAAGTACTTTAAGTAATTTCAGATAAATTTACAATTGGATTATGGGGTGTGGCTCATTTCTGTTCCTCACACTATATATAGAGAGAATTATTGTGTCTCTAGAAGTCTTGGAAAAATAGACTAAATGATTTAGATCTGTGTTCTGTTAGAAGATGTACTAGATGACCTGCGTTCCTTTCAATCTGATTTTAAACGTGATATTATAATCACAGCTTTTCCATAATGTGGGTGAAAGGAAGGGTCAAATATAGCTTAGGAATATAGAGTTGCTCGTAGATGCTGGCCATTCATTCAGGGATATTAAATATGAAGATGACTGTCTCCAATGACTCCATCGATGCAGACTTTATTAAATGAAAACTAGCCTCATATACACTATTCTAAATTCCTTCACTGGGTAGTTAGTGCATGTAGAAGAGAATAGCCCTATGCCTTTAATTAAGTAGGCTGTAACCTGAAACACTATTTCATCCAGTCTGTACAGTAAGACTTGAATAAGCTAAAGTGACTCCATGCTAATAGGCCAGACTGTGCTTCTTCATATGCTAATTGCTAACTTGGCTAACAGCCCGCCCAGGAGCAAAGGGTATAACAAAAGTTAAAGGTAAAATATTTCCTGCATAAGATAAGCACTGTGTTTGCAGTCTTGTTCTGTGAATTCCCTGACTCTTTCTTTAGAAAAACCTTATAAAAAGTGACTCAGCCCCTGAGCAGTTGCCTCTCTGAGCGACCTGGCTCTGGGAGTGCCCTCTGGCCAGACTAATAAAGGTCTATTTACCACCTAGCCTGGTGTGTTCCCTCCTGGGTTTCTCGTTTCTCCCTCGAGCTCCCGGAGCCTTGCTGGGTGTTAGGGCCCAGCATCGTGGAGGCCTTTTTGGCTGTTCACGCTCCGTGGAGTGGAAGTGAGACTTTTAAGTCTTACAGTACCATAAATGTAGGTACAGAGGCAAATCAGTGCAAGTGAACATGCCTAGAGTCTGCACTCTACTTGTGGGTGTGCCTATAATTCCAAATGCCCCAGCTGGTGAGGGAGAATCAGTCAGGTCCACTGCACTGGGAAAACACACAGCCTTTTTGGCTGTTCACGCTCCGTGGAGTGGAAGTGAGACTTTTAAGTCTTACAGTACCATAAATGTAGGTACAGAGGCAAATCAGTGCAAGTGAACATGCCTAGAGTCTGCACTCTACTTGTGGGTGTGCCTATAATTCCAAATGCCCCAGCTGGTGAGGGAGAATCAGTCAGGTCCACTGCACTGGGAAAACACACAAAAAAGGGTGATAGCACAAGGTGATCACCAAGAAGGGAAGAACAGGTAGGGTAGAATACAGAGGGTGGCCATCTAGTTAGAGTTCGTTGGTCTTCAATCCTATACTCTGCAAGTCCAGAAAGTTAGAAATGGAAGAGCACAGGAGAAGAACAGAAGAGGCAACAGCATCTTCTTATTCTGTTCTAGGTCTTTCCAGATAGTCAAGGACTGCTTCTGGACAGTCCTCAGCTTAACCAACAGTA